TCTTTGAAATCTCCATTTTGGCATAGGACACATGTAGACTTTTTCTTTTTAAATGTTATAGTAGCTGCTCCAGTTCCTTATAGATTAAATGGACAAGCTACGCAAACAGATGTTTGTTCCTGAGGAAAAGAAGATGGAAAATAATTCTCACATTTAACCATTTTCAAACACAAATAAAAGTTAAATGTCTTCAGGTTAGTTTTTATGCCTGATTTGAAAAGTCCGGTTACTGAAAGGCAGGAACATGATTTTGTCCACCAGACGGTGTAACGTTTCCCCTCCATTAAAATCACGCAGCAAAACTTCACATCACACTGAAAAAAAGTGTTTTATATTAAATAATGTAGTTTAAGGTCTTTAAGGTCCTTCATTTTAGCAACAAATTATAAATAGTGGGGTTATATAAACATATTGAGGGTTAAAAATGGGAATATTATCAATTTTTTTAAGAGTAATTTTGCAGGACGGAGCAGTTTTAGAAATGTTTCCTGCTAAAAGTGGAAATAAAATACTAAGTAACATTTTTAAGCTGATTTTGGGAAGCTAAAAAAAATGTTGCCATCAAGCAATGAATCATCTCAGAGCCATTAAAGGTCAACATCCTGCTGGAAAAGCTGCTTTAAATAGTTTTATTGTAGCTCTAGTTGGGAGTTTACCAGCAGGTTTTCTTCCAGTATTTTACATTTAATAAAGACAAAACATTAAAAAAAAAAAAAACTCTGATCGGCTTCCCTTTCCATACTAAATATTAGCATCCCAAAGCATCACTCTGCCACCTCCGTGATTTACTAAGGGAATGCTGCGTTAAAGGCGATTTGCATTCTTCAGGTTTTATTTTGAGGATATTTTTGTAAATAAAGTTAAATAAATTAGGCCTCTTGTTTACCTTCATGTGTGCTATCTGGTCCTGCTCCCAGTTGAAACGCTTCATCTGGTTCTCTTCCAGCTCTGCTCTGGTCTTCACATACTGGTCATAGTTACCCTGAACAAATATAGATTTGCTTCGTCACCCAACAGCATAGAGGCGTTATTAGCAGCAGCTCGTCTTGATTCCTTATTTAGCTCTGGTTCGTTCCAGGTATTCCGACGGGGGTCCAGACCTTTGCTAATTGGACTCTAGGCAGTGTGTTCTTACCGTGTAGTACTTTAGTTTTCTCTGATGCAAGTGGATGATGTTGGTACACACGCCGTTCAGGAAGTCTTGCGAGTGTGAGATGAGAACAAGGATTCTCTTAAACCTGCAGAGAAGCAGCAGCAGGTTGGTGAGAAAAACACTAAAACAGCTAAAACGTTCCAGGTGAGGCGCAAACGTACGATTTGAGCTCCTCTTCCAGCCACACACAAGCGTCCAGGTCCAGGTGGTTCGTCGGCTCGTCCAGCAACAACATGAAGGGTTTGATGAACAGAGCTCTGCAGAAACAAACAGTTAAGATCATAAAACGATACAAAATCTAATTCCTGAAGCTGAGCTAGCTTGTTTTCACCTGGCCAGAGCGACACGCATCCTCCAGCCTCCACTGAAGTCCTTCAGCTTCTTCTGCTGCATGGTGGCGCTGAAGCCTAGACCGTGGAGGATCCGAGAGGCTCGCATCTCCGCCTTGTCGGCGTCCAGCTCCTCCAGACGCTCGTACAGCTCCATCAGCTTCTCACACTCCGCTTTAAGGGGAAAGTAAGTTTTAGTTTCAATCATAGCAGCTTTTTAAATGTTTAATATATTCACTCAAATCATCTTATGAAACAAAAACCTTCTGTTGTCGTTATTAGGCCTGATAAATTTGGCTGTTCCCAGAAATAAAACAATAATATTGTTGTTTTGAGATAGTTTAAGAACTATAATCTTTACATTTCCAAAGAACTTTTGACACTGGAACTGAAAAACATTTTAAATTTCCAAAATAAAAATAACTGGAACAAATAAAATGGATTAATCTTAAACAAAACACAATTGCCCTTCAAGTTGTATTAATCATTAGCTTCATCCAGGCAAAACTGCTAGTTAGGACTTTTAAAATAAATGTTTAAAAAAAAAAGCAAAACAACTACTTTGCTCATCAAATGTTTGCAGCATTTTTCAAAATGGCACCTTTTTAATAATCTCTCTCTAAAGGCTAAGCAAACTACACAAATCCATTTAAATGGAAATTGATTTCTCATTTTAAATCATCATGTGGTTTTCTTGTTGCAATAACAAAATCTGCAGTTAAATTGTTGCAATAAACAATAATATTGTTGGTTTGAGACAATTTTCAAGTATTATATTGATAATGGCATAATAATGAAAGTTTGCCCTTTCATTAATTCATCATTTGTGAATTATTTTGTACAGAATAATTCACAAAATATATTAATTATCTAAAATAAAAACAACCAAAACCATAAATAAAATGAATTATAATGTCTCTCTAAACAAAATTGTTCTAAAAAATACCAGAATGATGATTTGTGATGTGATTAATTGATTTATTTCTTATGGAGCCAACTGTTATTCAACGGCTCCAGTTTTGTCAGATCTTATGTAACTCACAGTCTTCATGAGCGAGTCTCTCCGCCTCCTTCTCCAGCATGATCCTCTGCTCGTCCACCTCCATGACACACTGCAGAGCCGTCTTGTCGCTCGGCGCCATCTCCCGGGTCAGATGGTAAATATCTATGTGCTCTGGAATGGGAATCTCACGGTGGCCGATGGCCGACAGTAGCATGGACTTTCCTACCAGAGGGAAGAAACGTAACATGATTAATTGTTTTGATTTGGCTTTCAAACAAACTGAGGTCCGAGCTAAACGGTTACCGGTGCCGTTAAGCCCGATGAGGCCATAGCGTCGGCCCGAGTTGAGCTCCAGGCTGGTGTCTGCCAGCAGCTCTTGGCCGTGGAAGGTGAGCGACAGGCTGCTGATGTGGACGTCCGTGCTGTTGGGGTGGGAAGCAAGAACGCCAGTCACGGCCCGAGCCTCCGTCTTCCGCAGCTCGAACTCGTCCAGCTCCTTTGTTAAGCTGCCGACGCCTGAAACCAAAGAGAGCAAAGATGTCCTGCTTTATAGATCACTGCACACCGTTTTAGTCTTCCCAACCAGTCCAATAGCGCCACATGCTTAGATTGATGCTACTCTAAGATAGGAGTAAAACTTATTGGGATCACTGCTTTTAGGCTAATTTTAAAGCATGGCTGGTTCTGCTGCAGTGTCTTCTATTAAACAGATCTAAAAGTGGGAGTTGCTAAAATTATTGTCTCAAAACCAAGACTTTGTAGCATCTAGCATTACTCAGATCCAGTTGTTTTAGGTCAGAAAGATGAAAAAGCCAACCAATAAATGCTTGTTATTTAGATTGTTCCAACTGAAAACTGTAAATATTCTTATTTGTTTTAGTGATGTGAAAAAATGTCATGTTTACATTTTTAAATCCCAATATTAATAGGTTATGTTTATTAATTTACAAAACTATTTCTCCCCACATGCCAGATGTGCAAATAATCAAAAAATAAACCAAAATGTCAAAAATCTGAAGACATCAACACCAAGGAACTAAGAATTAAAAAAAAAAGTCAAATCACAGCAGCTAAAATTTTTTTTTTTAATTTTTGATAGATCTTTAAAGTTTAGATAGGCATATAAAAAAAGATTAAGGAAAAATTCAATCCAAAATATACAAAGTTAATTTACGGTTAAAGTTTTGTGCAACTAGCTCATTATACTCTTTTTTTAATAATGTGCCTCTCCTTAATTTTATGGTATTCCCTCTAAAAGCAAAAGCTCTGCAGACTCTTATTTAATTTGTGATTTTCTAAATAACTGGGTCACTAATGACAGGAAAAAGCCCTGAATCTTTTAAGATTTTTAGGGAGGATACAACTCACTAAATTACAAATCTCAAGATGGAGACATGCATATTGAAAACAAATCAGTTAAGTTTATAAACATCCATATTTAGAGTTGGATGCGACTACTCTGACACATATTTTGCATATACATTAATCAGTCCCACTGGATCTGGCCACAGAGATCTAATCCCAGGCTTCCTCTCACCATTGCTGTCTGCTCCATTTTCTTGAATCTCCGGTTGTTCTCCGTCCCCATTCACTTCCTCAGACTTCTTGGGGCGCTGACGAGCTTTGGCTGCCTCCTTCTTCTTGGCTGCTTTCTTTTTGGCCAAGTCTGACGGCATGGTTACCCAAGGCTACTCCATGGAAAACATAAGAGAGGATAACGGAATGCAACAAAACACATTAACATGACAATAAACTCTGGTTATCTATAGTTTAGCGATTACTGAGGTGACTAAACCGGCATTAGTCATACAAGGTAGAGAGGTCTGAATCAGGATGACTAACCGCTAGCAGAGAACCCTAAACCGGCTTGCCGGTTAAATACTACCCCCATAATTAAAAGGAAACAAAGCTTCTTTTTTTTAATGAACACGTTTCAGCAACCAACGTAATTAAAAACGTCGTCTTAAAGACTTGAATAATGGTGGCAAAGACAACGAACGCCACGTTCTGGTTCTTTCCAATCGCGTCTCCAGCATCTATAACGCTTGATTAGTCCGGTTGTTAGCGGCTAGCCGTGCTAACTTTAGCTGTACACTTTGTCCCCGAAGAGTTAAATGAAATTCGGCGGTGTTGGCTAAAACACAAAAGATGTCAAACACTAAGAAACATGCGTCAGAGATAAAATGTAAAGTTATTTCTACCGGCACAATACGAAGTGAGCCGGTAACGTTAGCTACACCTGACAGGCCTGGCTGCTAACTCGATTCTAGGCCCAAATTAAACATGACACAGTTCCAAAGCGGTATAACGAGTTTAAAATCAAGCCAGATTCTTTTCACAATAACCGGTTTGAGTTGGGGATTCATGCAGCAGTTGTTAAATTCAGATTGATCTCATTTACCTAATATCTCCGTACCTCTTATGTCGGAAGCACACTGACGTCTCGTGTCCACTTTTTGCCGGGTGGATGTAGCCGCTCACTAAACCGCCAGACGAACCATATATGGTCAAGAAGGGCGGTGAAAATAACAGGACCCGCCCCTACTCGTGGGACTGCAGTAAAAAGTAGAGATGAGAATTCCGGCTCGTTTATGGGATTCGTTGCTTTGGCTCAGCTGGTGTTCTTTCGGATCCCAAATAATTCTTCATACTAATTAATTTTAAATAGTATTCAGTTATTAAGTATTCATGTGTAGAATATCAATAGTATTACAAAAAATAATAGCTTTAGCTCATTTTGGATGTTACAAATGACAATCTGACATTTTCTTTGTTGTTTCATAGTGACAATGCATATGAGGCTTCATAATTAACTGTAGTTTTAATGAAGTATCTGACACTGAAATTTGATTACCAACTTCAGAAATACATCTCAACCAACTTTGGATGTTGTAGTTAGAAATCAGAAATTTGGTAATTGTTTTATATGACTAACTACTAGCAATGCAAGCTTAAAACTGTGGGTTTGTTTCTGTTTTATCCTCTCAAACACCCTGCTCACTATGTTTGAAATGCAGCTATGAATCCTGGAGATCCGTAATATCCTGAGCAGTGGCAGCAAAAACGTGCAACATCTTGATTTTTCATTAATTGTTAAAATGGAACTGTGAAGATAAAATTGAAATTGGTCCAATTAGCTATGGTTTCTTATCACCATAAGAAATTGACCCTGAGTACCTTAATCGCCAGTTCCAATAGCAATTAATTATAATTACATTATAATTTTACAACTTCAAGCAAAGTCCTCAGATTTTGACGTCAAAAGACGTTCTTTGTTTATTTTTTGATAGGAGCCGGCAGATCGGTTAGGCTCTGCCACGACCGACACATCAGTTGTGAAATGTGTTTTTCCTCTTTTCCTATTAACAAATTTAAAATGGCAATATTTTATGCTTAAAGGCTTTACATAAAAATTGGAAGGTGTATTTTAAAAAGTAGTGCGACTAAAAAAAATAATCAAATTTGACTTAGTGGCAATCTTGCTGAGGATTCTTCACATTCAAAGGTGAAATGCACCTTCCTCGCATTAAGAACATTATGTTCACGAAGATACATGATGACACATATATTAATATGTCAAAAAATAATTACACTTTATTAGTGGGGTTTAATAAAATCTCCTGTTGACAGCACAGGTCTGACAAGCGAGCAGAGGTGATGCTGCAGTAGCAGATGTGCAGTCAGTCTGTAATGATGAGGCTGAAAACGACGTGAGGGACGCTGTTGACACACTTTATGTGTGTGGCACACAGTTTTTCAGGAAGTCAAGAAAGCGAAGGCAGTGGACGACATGTTTTTGACCGCATTAACGTTTTTTTTCCTGCAGCTAAACGGGACTTGTAACGGCTTCCTGTCGATGATCGTGGAGGTGGATCGACGTGTCTGCACTAACGGGTCGCGATGCTAACTCGCTAGCTTGATCTTTCATGTTTGTTCCTCTTAGATGTTATTGTTAAACGTTGCAATTTAGACAAGACGGACAAAACTCTTCCTCATTCGCTTAGGTTTTTTTTATAACCAGATTATTGCAACGCGACTTGACTTTAAAAGGCTTTCTGCTGATTTAGTAAGTGACTGCTAGCTAAAATGAGTGGAGCTGATTAACAAAACATGGGTTTTATATGGATGGAGGCATGTAGCAGGGAACATGTGAATGATTAACCAAACAAACAGTTTGAGGTTAATAGGAAATAGTTGGGGGATGTCAAGCCATTTGCATACATCTGTTGTTTTAAAGCGGAAAACTTTTGCGTACTGGTAGCTACATAGTTAAAACACATTCAGTAATGATATAAATAAAAGTGGAATCCTGTTAGGTCGTCGCCTAATCTAATCAAACCTGATCTAATTTAATAGGAACAGTAAACTATATCAGTTTTTTTCTTGTTTTATTAAACAGATCTCGTTTTTTTCAGCTCCTACTTGGGTAAAATGAGTCTTAGTTGGCCCGTAAAGCGCTGTCACCTTTAGGGTTTAGCTCTTAACGATCAACCATGCGCCTGTCGACGTTTTTGGCCCTCTTCAGGCCTGCTTTGCCCCTCATCCTGGGGCTGTCTCTGGGGTGCAGTCTCAGCCTTTTGATGGTGTCCTGGACCCAAGGGGACACGGACGACCCCTGCGGAGACGAGCTGGCCAAAGGTGGGCTCTTCCTGGGCAGAAGAGACGCTCAGAGAGGAGGAAGAGATGGAGCTGGAGAGGAGGACTTCCAGCCACGAATAGTTCCCTATCACAAGGACCCAAACAAACCACACAAGAAAGTTCTCAGGTGAGTGGAAAATTCACCTTTTGATGCTTAAAAATACTACACTAGCACCCACATATGAATTCAGAAAACCAGAATAAAATGGTTTAAATTGGCATCAAAAGAAGAGAAATTAATATGCATCCACAGTGGAGCATGGTAGTGGCAGAATTATGCTGTGTGGATACAGGTAGCTGGTCAAAGATGATAGGCATAATGAGTGGAACTAAACAAGATACAGCATTGTTAGATGCTGCAAAATCTTGACACTAGAGAGAAACTAGGACTGTTATAATAATAAATTACTGTAATAAGTTATTGCAATAAATGACAATATTGTTGTTTTGAAACCTTTTTCAAGTAATGTAGCATAATGCAAGAACATATTATCAAAGATAATCCAGTTTTTATTAAATCTGTTCAAACTCGAAAGTCTTGAGAAATGAGTAGGGCTGCAGTTAATGTTTATTTTAACAGATTGTTCTGACGATTAATTGATTAATCGGGTAAAAAAATAGCAAATTCTGCTGATTTTTTATTTAACCACTTAAACTTATTTTATACAACATTAGAAAAAAATTAAGAAATGCAAATAAAATTTTATTTCGAATAAGAAAATAAAAATTTTATTGCCTAAATATCAATAACATAACATTCCTATTAGCGATTAGGAGCTAAATGTGCTCTTTAAACTAGATTTTCTTTACAGAATTGCTGTCAGGTGAAGCAAAACTATGTAATTTGAGGGTATCTGGATAGAAGATATTTACAAAGATTTTAAAATCTTAAATACAAAATGTATATATTTTTGTAGAGTTTTGGATTAATCTTAAACTCCAGTTAACGATTAATCAGTGCTAAATTAGATGAAAATTATATCAAAAATTGGTTAATCATGATTAATCATTGCAGCCATAATTTCACAAGTTCCATAGTGAGATTAGTAATTGATTAATCAGGAATTGTCACGATTAATTGTTTCAGTCCTACTTGTTTTTGTTTTCTTTATTTTCTCGCGGTTCTGGTCTGATTTTTCTCCATCAGAACTCGATACATCCACACTGAGCTGGGCATCCGGGAGCGGCTGCTGGCGGGCGTCCTCACGTCTCGGGCCACCCTCAGCACGTTAGCCGTGGCGGTGAACCGCACGGTCGCCCATCACTTCCACCGAACCTTTTTCTTCACGGGCCTCCGCAGCCCCAAGGTGCCACACGGCATGACCGTGATCGCCCACGGCGATGACCGGCCGGTGTGGCTGATGTACGAGACGGTGCGGCACCTCCACCAGCACTACGGCTCGGAGTATGACTGGTTCCTGTTGGCGCAGGATGACACTTACATGCAGGCTGGCCGCCTATCGGAGCTGGTGGGCCACCTCAGCGCAGGTCAGGACCTGTACATGGGCAGGGCTGAGGAGTTTATTGGCGGGGAGGAGAAAGCGCGTTACTGCCATGGCGGCTACGGCTACCTCCTGTCCCGCAGCCTGCTGGCGCGACTGCAGCCGCATCTCGACACCTGCCGCAACGACATCCTGAGTGTGAGACCGGACGAGTGGCTGGGCCGCTGCATCATCGACTATCTGGGTCTGAGCTGCATGGAGGTGCACCAGGTAACAACAACAATGCA